GTGTACGTGTGCTGATCTTTGTAATTATAAATTGTGAATACATGTGACTAATATTATTTTCTTTTTTATTTTGTGCATGTTACAAGTTATAAATAAATATAAACAAACAACACTAACTCGATAACATTAAATCTAAATACCAAAATGATTAATTTACTGTGTTTTTGTTATTTATTACTCCTGCTTTTAGGTATTCAGTATTCGGCCGAATACCGAATAGTAACCGAATATTCGTTACATCACTAGTAATAACTTATTTTATTGAATTCGTGTTAAAATTTTTTTATCCGTTCAACTTGACTCTCCCAACATTAAATCCTAAATGCGCCATTACATTACGACAAAATAAATTTGGGATCTGTTTTGTGCGCGCTACCCTGTACAAATGAATAACTAAACTAAATGCATCAAAAAGGGTGGTTGTGCCTGGCTGGTTTCCAAAACGTTTACGTCGTATAATAAAAAGCATTAATTTAGAGATGATAAAGTTATCAAGCAAAATTATACAATTATTCAAACGAAGTAGCCTCTGAATCTTGAGAACTAAAGAAAGCGTTGGAGGAAGGAAACAAATATATTTTTATTTAAAGCTAAACAACGAGTGCCAAAGGCCTTAACGCAGAATCCAAATATTCTTATAGTACAGTACATCCACTATTATTAATTTTTTTGTACCCCTAAAGTTTGGGGATCTCAAACTCAAACGCAGCAAAGGGCCAGTCAAATAGATGTATATCAGATGTGGCCTTATTCACTATTATTCGGTAAATCGAGACATTTGGTGGCAATTAAAAGAATAGACTCTTTTTTACCAGGCCTTTACGACTTAGGTAAACAGTTAGACGTTTGAATTTTTTCTGTTTTAATCCCCGCAAGATGTTGGGAACATTGATATTTAGAAAATAAATCATCAAGGCTGCGGACCGGATACGAAACCTTAACGGGCCACCAGTTTGTCACACCATGAAGAGAAGTGCCCCCGGTTTGGAATAGCTGCCTTACACCATTAGAAGTTATATCAAAAAGTAGATTAATGCTTTCTAAATAAAACACATTTTGAAATAACTCGTGTATAAATATCAATTGAAAGTTGATAATTAGGTTATTTGCCGCTTGCAACCATTATAACAAGTCATAATTAGTATTACAGATCTATACGAATTATATATGTCAATCAAGTTTGGGGTAGAAAACTACGTAGTATACAATCAGGGAAACCTGTATCAAATGTGTTAAATACAATTTAATAAATTATACATGACTTTCTACGTTTTTCTTTTTAATATATACAAATATCTAATTTCTTAGTTTGGAAATAATTTGAATTAAAAAAAAANCATAGCTGCGGACCGGATACGAAACCTTAACGGGCCACCAGTTTGTCACACCATGAAGAGAAGTGCCCCCGGTTTGGAATAGCTGCCTTACACCATTAGAAGTTATATCAAAAAGTAGATTAATGCTTTCTAAATAAAACACATTTTGAAATAACTCGTGTATAAATATCAATTGAAAGTTGATAATTAGGTTATTTGCCGCTTGCAACCATTATAACAAGTCATAATTAGTATTACAGATCTATACGAATTATATATGTCAATCAAGTTTGGGGTAGAAAACTACGTAGTATACAATCAGGGAAACCTGTATCAAATGTGTTAAATACAATTTAATAAATTATACATGACTTTCTACGTTTTTCTTTTTAATATATACAAATATCTAATTTCTTAGTTTGGAAATAATTTGAATTAAAAAAAAAATTATAAAACTTATAATTTGAAGAAAAGCATTATATAATTTTTATAAGTTACAAAATCAGAAGGAAAAACGTGGTTTAAGTACCTTAACAATAGTAATTATGTACAGTACCTGTACGGGTACTACTTTGACCTATATTTATAATTACTTCGAAGAATTTTCGTATTTTGCTTTATCGTTATTTTTTGGATTATCTGGAAAGAATGAACGTAAAAATATCTAAATTTAGTACATGCAATTTATATTTATTTGTTCGTTTGCTCTGTAATATAAAGAAATGAATTCGTCCCGTGTCTATCGAGCATAAGCTCATTGGCTGTAGTTGCACTATCCTTAGTTTGATTCGAAACAATGACGATATTCGATATAATTAAAAATTTTCAGACAGATTAATAAGATGACTGATGAATAGATGACTTCGAGTGAGGATTTCAGAAATGTGCATTTGTAGATTTGATCCGAATATGTCACCCATCACTAGTTCCTTCGAAAGATATGAAAAAAGAATCTATTAGTGCCACGAGCTAGAAAGAGTAGGCTATTAGTAGGGACGAATTTGAAGGGCACAGCTGAATCTCCTGAGGATTTTTCCCGAGAAACGCTGGTACCTAAGGTAATAAACATTTTTAAGGCATATTGTATCCTTTCTGGATCCTCTATTCTTATTAACTGAGTTGACATGATGAAGGTATGGCTGGAGGAGCGCATGATTTTTTTTCACAGGATGATTCGGTTCACGATATGATTAGAGCAGGGGTGGCCAAAACGTGGCGCATTGGACGATTACAAGTGGCGCTTCAGTTCTGTGCAAAATTGCCAGATTTGGCTTTTTTGCGATTAACAATATTATATAGAAAAATAAATTTTTAGTCTGTCTTGGCAAGTTCATTTGTTGCACAATTCGTTACGGTCTATTTTGCAGATAAAATGAGTATTCTCCACATAGTAAATTACAATGTATGCATGTATTTTGATTCTTGCGATCTTTATTTCCGATCAGTTTACAGGCGTGTAAACGGTCGACAACATTTATTGTGATTAAAGTTATTCCAAGCTCATCTCGTTCTCAGTGCCAATAATTGTAGTGCAGAGTAATCTTTACCAAAGAGACTCTGGCAGTAATAGCACCTTCATGTAGCAATCATCCTCTCGTACAGGAGATCATTGTTGACTATTGTAAATTGGTGCTTCAATAAACTGTCATAAATTAATTAATTCAACTGCGTGATTAAGTTATTCCCTTTTCTTTCCTAAGCAAAGCAGATTTATTCTTATCTCTATTTATCAACCCCTAACATTGAACGTAAGACTGTATAAAAAGTGTTCGAGTTAT